CTGAAAGGATAAGAAAGACCGGATATTACGATTAACCCGTTGACCGGTGTGTCAGGTCAATGGTCGTCGATATCGCATCTCCTCATTACGTCATTCCAGTTGTGAGGAGTTGCGCTCTGTGACCGCCTCCGTCTTTTGATAAAGGGCGCTGGAGGTGTTGTGATTTAGTCATCGTGCGTTCGAGTCGATTATGTGTGTTTTGGGGTCAGGATTTTTTATCGTTTTTTTTTTCTTGTTCAGTTCCGGAAGCTGTCACGTGGGGTGGAGAATTTATCTCCGATTTCAACTTTTCCAGTCTCTTTCTGCTAGTGACCCGCACGCTGTGACACCACCCCTGCCTTAAGCGCGCCATCGGCCAGCAGTTTATTAAAAAGTGTGGCCGAGGTTGGAATTTGACTTTGATATGGCACCAAATGGATACAGAATTAAAAAAATGTAATTGTCGTTATGAATCTTGAACAGCTTTGTGTGACTGAATCGTTGTCCTGTGCGACTGAGGTTACTTCTTCTCGTTGACCCAACTGAGGTTATTTTTTTTCACTCCAGGATGGAAAATCCAGTTTCCGAAATGTTCAGATATTTTCAGAATTGGCAGACAAATTCCAGAAATCCAATAATATTAATCGCAATATACCATCGTAAGAATCATTTAATAAGTGACTCTGTATATTATCTTATGCCGACAACTGACCGAATGTGAAGTTTTATATAGCAAAAATGCATGAACACACTTAGTAATTTTTTGATGCGAGAAAGTATTTCGTTGTCAAAACACAACACTACGTTGTGAACCTTTCATGTCAACTTTTTATATCTTCCACTTTGTTCTCTGTGTGTACCGGTGGGGATTTTAGATGCCAGTGAAAACTTATTACGAGTAATACGAGGTGCGATCGGAAAGTTTCAAAACTGTGTCAATAGCGGGCGAACCGGATGTAGTACGAGCTTCTGCCGCTAGGGGGTGCGGCCTACATTCATAGTGAATCAGTGTGCCAGCCGGCATCATCGAATTAGCATTTGTTTCTTAGTTACGGGCGTTTTGGTAGTGCATTACACCGACCCTCCTGCGATTTCGGAATGGCGTGTGCATCAAATTTTGCCAAAGACTCGCCAAAACGGCTACGGAAACCTATGAAATGCTAAAGCAAGCATTTGGGGAGTCCGCAATGGGTCGTGCACAAACTTTTGTGTGGCATTCACGTTTTAAAAATGGCCGAACCTCTTCCAGGCTTGGCAGCGGCGCTGGGATCGTTGTGTTCACTCCCAGGGGAACTACTTCGAGGTTGAATTTAATACCTGAGATAAGTGTACGGGTTTTTATAGGCGCAGTCTGGAAACTTTCCGATCGCACCTCGTACACTGGCCTAATATTTATTGTTTAATTTGCTTTCTGCAGTTGATTAAGTTCTTAGGCCATAGCAGTACCATGCTCACACCTGCAGCTGTAAAATTACACCCACTATGTTATATCGATTTACTTGGGAAAACCCTAACTTTTTGGAGCATACTGTAGCTTTTCATAACCTGTCTGACGCAGAAGGTCAGCTTTAATTAAATGTCAGCCATATTGTTTCGAAAATGTTCCCTTCACTTAAACTGTGGGCATGTCCGTTTCGTAACACTTGGATTAACATAATGATCGCTATGTTGTCTGGTAGATAAACGTAGATCTCCAAGCTTGATAATCCAACGTGACGTCCTTGACAGTCGGGGTTGTCCGACTACACGGAAGTTTGAGAACTTCCAAAAGCGCTGTCGAGAAGAGTCCAGTGACCTGTGGTTCCGCTTCGAATTTTGTTCATCCTCGACCGCCACGGTGGTCTAGCGGTTAGAACGCTGGCCTTGTAATCCTGGGGTCTCGGGTTCGATTCCCGGCGGTGCCCGAATTTATAACTTGTGTTGGGCAAGGCCGTGGTCTAGGCAACACGGAGTTTTCCTCCGTGGCATCCCAACAATTACTCCATTCACACACAGAAGAAGGCAATGGCAAACCACTTCTGGATCATCTGCCAAGAACGTATATGAACAGGTCCCAGTCCGAGAAAAGGATGGAAGGATCCTGTTCATATGGACCTGTCATCAGACAGAACACTAAATAAAATAAAATAAATAAAAAATAGAGAAGTCCAGAACTGTCCACTAAATTTCGCTTGAGTTGTTCCGACCTGATATAAAATACGGCTACAATGCCTGTTGTTCTTGACAGCAGTCCTCATCCGCTTTTATACTCGATGCACTTTCTTGAATGAAAATATAACTGAAAATTGAAGACTTCATCTGCTGTGTATATTGGGGGCAGTGCAATCGTTCTGAACGTTTTGAGATGAACCCGGGGGCGTATGAAGTTGTGTTTGTGTAGCACAATGCAAACGTTATGTTATAGCCGTCGAGCACAAGTTCCGCTTCTGATAGCTAAGGGGGACGTTACTATAGCAACTGCGAGTCATCGTCACGATCCATTTCTTTGCAGACCATGCATAATTTTACAGGTCTTAGTTTCGTCACATTCAAGCTAGTTCATTGATATACTGATTATATTCCTGAACATCTCCGAGCAGAATCCAAACAATTCTTGTACTGGATAAGATTTTGTGTTGATTTTCTCAGAGGAACAATGCTAATATTAAGGTGTATATTCTATGCTTTATATTTATTTATTTTTTGTAGTGTTCTGTCTGACGACAGGTCCATATGAACAGGATCCTTTCATCCTTTTCTCGGACTGGGACCTGTTCATATACGTTCTTGGCAGATGATCCAGAAGTGGTTTGCCATTGCCTTCTTCTGTGTGTGAATGGAGTAATTGTTGGGATGCCACGGAGGAAAACTCCGTGTTGCCTAGACCACGGCCTTGCCCAACAGAAGTTATAAATTCGGGCACCGCCGGGAATCGAACCCGGGGCCCCAGGATTACAAGGCCAGCGTTCTAACCGCTAGACCACCGTGGCTGCTTTATATTATAAGGATATTACGTGCTTTGTAATATATCATTTATAACCTGAACTTAACACTTGATCGTTAAATTACTAGCAAATGGCTGAGAGCTTTTATGGACCATGTCCATACAATCTGTAATAAAACATTTGATCTTATCAGAAGATATTCCATGGAAGTGTTCTTCATTAACATGTTAAAATTTTTAATCAATACCCAATTTCAAGATCTGCTGTATTCAGCGTGCTGTAGGCATTTTCTAACCTGTTAAGGTAATTTTACTGCGAGCCTGCTTGGAAGGAGAGATTTGGAGGAAACATTTATGGTTTTTGCTTTTCACATGAAGAAAGGCAGTGCCAAGTTTAGTTGATTTTAGTTCCCACATGCCTCGAAAATATAACAGATTCTAGAGGCAAGGTAGGCGGAAGCAAGCAGGAGGCAGTGTGTGATTCTCCGAAACACTGACACCGACCCACGTGTGTGCACAGCGTCACAACCCAGAAGACGACATCGACAAAACAGGAAGGCCTATGCCTTGAAAAAGACGTGCTATAAAATATTATAATTCAGTTACAACCTTTAACTCCATGGAGTAGATAAATTAGTTAATGCTGTTTAGGGAAATAATCGCGCATCTCTCTGACAATCATACAAAACCAATAAATACATTTTATGGGCAACACGCAGAATTAATTATTAAAGCAGACGGTGCTTATAATTACCACTACGCTTTAAAGTGTTCATTAATAATTAATTGTGAATGGTACGGAAGGAAGTGTTCCTGGCTTGTGTATCTTTAGTTATGTATTTATTTAAATACATCGGATGTTTACGGCTTTTTAGCAGAATAATGTTGAGTGTTCTCCCAAGTTTATATTTTTTTTTTAGTTATCTTTGCTACCGGATATTCAAACGCTTTCCGTCAACGTAAACTTTTCACTTTTATCTTTCAAGAGGATCACTGACTGTGTCTTGTTGTGTAACTTCGGATTGTTAAAAATCACAAACATGAAAGACGCCGAATTCAGCCTGTTATAATGAACACGGCAAAATATAGTAGGTATTCGGTTCAAGAAATGAGGAAGTCCCTTTGTAAGTTCAGTCCAGAGGTCTCTGCACAAACGGTTCGGCGTCAGCTGTTTTAAAAATAAAGCGGCCTCCAGTTGCTATCTCTGAATTTATTTCCACATTCAGGTCGTTAATAAACTAAGCGCATAATTTTCCACGTGCAGTTTGCTAACGACAGTGTTTTTGTTCCGTTGGCCATATGATCAGGATTTGAGATGATCTTTAAAGCTTGTAGCCGTAACTGGCCACGCACAGAGATTTCATTTAACTTCTTTACACTGAGTGCAGCCGAGATAGAGCCCCAACATGGGACGGAGACTGCGATAACGTCACATCCGGTCCATCCTATCCCGGCTAGTATGAAACCCAAAGCTTATTCACAGCAACGGGTCCAAGCGACTTGTTTCACTTTTGCGCTCAGCCCCTGGTCTGACAGAAACAATAGAACGATCCCCGTTCCTCTCCATTAATTTCATCTCGCGGCAGATAACGCGCCAGTTTCATAGCAATTTCCCTTCGGCCTTCATGTTGCCTGCTCAGTGCTCACAGAGAACTTCCCGATCCCTGAGTGCAGCATTA